CCTGGCCAGTTCCTGTGGAGAGGAGCTGGCCAAGTGCAGGACCTGCGGGGTCTCGTTGTCCTACTTCCATCTTCATGGAAGTTCTCTGGACCTTGAGGCTATCTACTGTAGATGGGCTTTGGGCAACCTCAGGCCACTTGGGCAGGTGTGCCACCAATGGCAGCTGGAGACTGTGTGTCATCCCTGCCATCTTCACATATTGCATCTTAGTCCTAAGTGCTCTCCTGGTTCATGTGCAACCACAGAAATGCAAACACCTCACCCGGCTCTGGCCCTGCCTGGGGCAGTCAGGGAGACAGGGCCCACACTGGAGGGGATCACACCAAGCAAGCACCTACTCTTTCTGCTCTAGCTTAGCTATTCTGCAATGCTAAGCCTGTGGTGGGAATGAGGGAAGCTGTTTTTCACCCCATGTCCCCCGTGGGATCTACTAACACTTGGTTCAGGCTGTGCAGGAGCCTGAGTCTGGGCTGTGACAGTTGCAGGGCAGGAGCCGGTGCCTCTGCTGGGCAGGATGTCACACCAAGCAAGCACCTACTCTTTCTGCTCTAGCTTAGCTATTCTGCAATGCTAAGCCTGTGGTGGGAATGAGGGAAGCTGTTTTTCACCCCATGTCCCCCGTGGGATCTACTAACACTTGGTTCAGGCTGTGCAGGAGCCTGAGTCTGGGCTGTGACAGTTGCAGGGCAGGAGCCGGTGCCTCTGCTGGGCAGGATGCCCATCGTTATGACAGTAGCGCTGGTCATTGCACTCCTGGCACTGGGGATTTTTCTACTCTTCATGCTCTTCAGGTCAGTATGTGCCTCACCTCTCCTGCTGTCTGTGAGGCATCCAACACTTTGCACTGCCAAGGAGTGTCTAAGTGGACACTGAGATAGAGCATGGTGGGAGGCAGGGCTGTTACGTGGGAGACAGCCTCTCCTGTGTCTCTCTCTTCTGCTGGGCTATGGACCTGACTTGCTGTTTTGCAGGCAAAAGCACAGCAGCTCAAAAACCTTGGAGAACAGCAGCACTATACCCCTGCGAAGATGTCGAGGAGGTACAGTATTAGCAGAGGACCTGCATGCCTTGTCTGGACAGGCCATCTGTTAAAAGCACAGGCAGGGTGCTTACAGGCTCTGTAAGGTCCTTACAGGAACAAGGGTGTCAGAGCTGGCTGGCATGGGGAAAGGGACACCTCGCAGGAGAAATGGACCTGTGTGGGGAGGGACAGTCTAGGCTTTGGAGGGGTCCTGACCATCACAATGCCAGCTCAGTCCCAGCTGCAGAGCTCCAGGGCCAGCCATCAGGTGCATGTTAAAGTCCTGGCCTCATGATCTCCATAGATGTGTGCAAGCTGAACACACAGATCCCGGTGGAGGAACTGCTGGAGACTCTCAAGAGGCTTAAGATGGCAGAAATAGAGGCTGAGCAGACAGAGGATGAATCAGTCGACAGGCATGGCACTGGACGTCTGAGAGAGTATGAGGTCTGGTTTGGATTTGCTCTCCCACCTAGCTGCACTGTCCACCCAGCCCTCACCCTTTCCTTGGGTGTGTGATGCAGTTGGCCTTGGCCAGTCCCAGAACCCATGTCAATGCAGAATGGTCTTGTCTTCTTCCTCTGCAGCAACTGTCGTCCGCTTTGTTGCATCCCTGCGATGCTGGGAAGGAGCTAAGTAATCAGAGCAAGAACCGCTACAAGAGCATCATCCCATGTAAGCAGAGCTCTTCAGGGGTTGGCACAGGCACCTGGAGGTGGCTGGGCAGTACAGGATGCTGGCCTGGTGTAGATGCCCCTCCAGCTCTTCAGCAATGCTGAGCTCATCTCATCTCATCTCATCATCTCATCTCATCTCATCTCATCTCATCTCATCTCATCTCATCTCATCTCATCTCATCTCATCTCATCTCATCTCGTCCTCTGTGGCCACTGAAACCCAGAGGGTTTTTCCAAAATTGTCGTGTTGGCCCCACAGTTTTATATCCAGTTGGAGAATCCTTGTTCTGCTCCTCAAATCTCCCGGCAAGCTTAATCATTCATCATTATATTCCTGTTCCTGCTGCTAGCCATTGCTGAACACTGCTGTGTCCCATCCAGAGGGATGTGGAAAGTGGAGGGAGTGACCCAATTTCTATCAAAAGTTAAAGCTTCTCTTGGTCCCACGTGGTATGGACATTAGCCCATTGCACTAACAGTGTTCCCCAAAAACACGTTGCGTTTCCTGCTGTACGATGTCACTTTTGTCTCATTAGCTGTTCTTTACCTCTGAACATGTCCTGAGGCCTGGAGTGCTGCTGAGGAGGCACCGGATGGTCCCAGACTTTCCTAAATTACATCCCTCTCCTTAAACAGTCACTTTGTTGCTGCCCGAAAGAGACAGTCCACTGACTCCCACCTCCCTTCTCTTTCAGATGACCACTGCCGTGTGGTGCTACAGCCCTCTGACATGGGGAATGGCTACATCAATGCCAGCTACGTGGATGTAGGTAGCAAGGAATTGCTGCCCTGGGCAGGGTAGAGGTGCCTGGCTGCACTGGGTGAGGACAGTCCTGCTCACAGGGTGGCCCTGAGGTCTGGCATTTGCTGCCCTCAGGTGCTGGCAGATCTTGGGATGTCACTTTCCTTGCATCCCCCCTGAGCTGTGTGGAATACTCTGAGATTGCGTGCAGTTCTCATCTCTAACAAAAAGGGACCTCTGTGAGGGGAGAGGAGCCAAGATGCAGCCCCTGGGTGCCCACTCTCCATGCTGGCCAGGAGTGGTGCTGTGGGACACACTGTGCAGAGGGCTCTGGACTCTAGTGCCTGTGGGGATGGGTCAATCCTTTATTTCATTCCCTGTTAAATGTTTAACCCATGTGATCGGAGCTGTTTGAACCTCTCCTCCACAGAGCTACCGGAGTCCACGCTTCTTCATTGCAGCTCAAGGTGGGTGCTCCCAGCCCCCATGCTCAGGAGATGCCAGTCACTGCCCTGAGCGCTTTGGGGAGTGGGGAACTGGGACAGCAGCCTAGGAGGTGTTAATGGCTCAGTCCAAGGCCCCATATCTCCTGAGCCTCTGTCTTGGACAGTTGTTACAGCTGCTGCAGAGCATGGAAGGCTTCAGTGGCAGTTTGGCAGGGGCCAGCTGAAGCAGGTCCCTGCTCTGCCCAGGCTGAGGACATGGTCCTTCCACCCACAAACCTGGTTTGTTCCCTTTGGTGGCTGGCGTGACAGAGAAGCCTGCAAATGCCTGACACATCTCCATTCAGGGCACTAGAAGACAGTGCAAAGCCAGGATGGGTTAGCCTGCTCTGTGCAGCATGTGGTGAGGAGGTCTCACCGCTCCTTACAAAGCTACAGAAATGCTATTCAGGAAATAGAACCCTAAAAGTGGGAGCAGCTCATGGTCGTCTTGAGGGTCTGGATGGCGAAGCCTCTGAGGCAGCAGTGAATCCTCTGAAAGCCCATATCCTGGGCTCCCTTGCCCTCCCTCTTCCATGTCCCAATTTCTAACACAGATGATGAAGCCAAGGTGCCCAGCATCTTCTGCCAGGTGCTGCTGTGCCTGGGCTGTGCAGTGCTAGTCCCCAGGCAGGGGGAAGCTCAGGGCTGCTTGTAGCCTGGGAATGTCCAAGTTATGCCTGGGAGCAGCTACACCCCCAAGGCTTGGATACTGGCACAGGACTCTCTTCTTCCTCCCCAAGGTCCCTTGCCTGGGACGGTGGTGGATTTCTGGCAGATGGTCTGGCAGGAGAAGACCTCAGTCATCGTGATGCTGACGGGCTTAGTGGAGCAGAACAAGGTAGAGAATCCATCTCAGCCTGTGCTCAGCGTGAGTCTCCCCAGAGACCGGCCTTTCTTGCCCACTTTGCTTTGCTTTGCTCCCAGTGCAGCTGTCAATGAGGGCAAATAGCTGCTCCACACCACTGCTGGCTTGCAACACTCCCCTCATGAGTTTGCTAGTGCTTAGTAGTCTTGCTGCTGTTGACAGACCAAGTGTGAGCAGTATTGGCCAGAGCAGGAGCAGGTCTACGGGGACTTCACCGTGACACTCAACAACACCAGGACCACTACAGGCCTTGTCACACGCATCTTCTGCCTGCGGAAGGTAAGCCTGACATGTAGCTGAGATGGGGATGCAGGATGCTTTTGGCTTTCAGCAGCTGGTGGGAGCTGTCAGCCAAGAGACTCTGTGGGGAACCCTGCCTGGTTTCCAGAACTAGCAGGTCAGTGTTGCTATCACTGGATGCCATGCCAGGGCATCAGCCACAGGTTTCTGTGCCAGGTAAAGACAAAGTTCCAGTGGTCACCCCAGCTGCATCTTTGAGGGCTCGGATGAGGTGATCACAAAGCATTTAAAGGGTATAAAGTCACATCTCTGTACAACCAGGATGATGGGACAGGTGCCTGCCTGTCACCTGGGACAATCTGAGGAGGGTCCACATTGATGCTCCATGGTCACTTACAGCTCCTAAACCTGAACAGATAGTTTATGGTTTAAGATAACTTATGTAATGACATTTCTCAAGATGAGTACTTCTGCTGAAGTTACGCCTCAGATAATAAGCAGAAACTGAAGGAGCTGCAAGGGAGAAAAAACAGGTACCATATAAAGAAATTGCAGTTATGCATATTCTTGTCTTTTCTTGACTTGCCCAAAACAAAGTCTAGATGAAAGGAAAAGCTCCAAGAGCACCTGATGGTGGGACATAGCAGTTCATTAGTTCAGGCCAAGTGAATGTGATGTTTAGGGAAAAATACATGATGGGCTGGTAACAAAAGTGACTACATTCACATCAGTGTCATACGAGCCTTAGAAAATGCCTTATTTGGGGAAGCCAGGGTTTTTCGATGACTATGGAAACACTCTACCACTCTACACTGTGATTATTTTCTTTTTTTCCTCTGGGGCACATTTACTGCTCTGAGTTCACTGTTCGCAGCATGGGGGCACAGAGAACGACGTGAATTGTGTGGCTGTGTGCTGGGTGAATTTGCCCTTTGCTGTCTGATGAGCTATCGTGGAGCAGTCATTGGAGGGGGGGGAGCACGGTGTGCTGGTGCCTCCGTGAAGTGATTTTTTCCACTGCTCGCTACTTGTTGTCATGCAATTATTTCATGCAAGTCTCCAGGTTGGTTCCTGCTCCGAGCCTTGTCTCCCTCTTTGCAGGCAGGCTGTTCTCTCCCAAGAGTGGTGGAGCAGTTTCACTACCTGCTGTGGCCAGACCACGGGGTCCCCAGAAACCCTGCCCAGCTCCTGTCCTTAGTGGAGGTCATGAACAAGAGAGGGTCAGAAGCGCCTGCTGGACCTGTGCTGGTGCACTGCAGGTACTGGGCTGGGAGTGCTTTGGGTGCTGGGCAAGGCTGGCCAGGGCAGCACTGACCCCCAATTTTCTGTGTCCTTAGTGCAGGGATCGGGCGCACAGGTACCTTCATTGCCCTGGACTTCCTCCTGAAGATGGGGAAGGCCGAGGGAAAGGTGGATGTGTTTCACTGTGTGCAGAGGCTGCGGGAGCAGCGGGTCAGCATGGTGCAGACCAAGGTGAGGAGAGTTACCTGCTCCCTGCACGCTGTCAGGGCTGCAGATCTGCTTCCCACTCTTCCCAGGGATGTGGCGTGCAAAGCCATGCTGGCCATGCCGTTCATGGTCTAGACACAGGGACTGGAGCTGCCAGGTGATGGAGACTGCAGGATCTTCTTTTCAATGCTGTGTCCAAACCTATTTAGGATCCATTTACCCTGAGACCCTCTGAGATGCCAGCAGCATTCATACGTACCAGTCATCCTGGTATAGAAAGGCTGTCTTGGATGCAAGGAGCATGAATGAGAGTGCACATGTCCTTCAGGCTTTCAGGATGTCTGCCCTTGTGGTATCTTCTGGGCAGCAGTGTCCTGGCCTAGGGACTACATCCCCATGGTCTGCTCAGTGCTGAGACCCTTTGGAGAAAACTAGGTTGGGCGGCACCATCCAGCTGCTTATAGGAGGACTAACTAGTTCACTGGTTTTCTGGGTTTCCTTCCCCAGGGCAGCGATCTGGTCCAAGAAGGAGTATTAAATCACAGGAAGATCGTAGAATCATAGAATCTTTGGGTTGGAAGGAACCTTTAAAGATCATCTAGTCCAAACCCCCTGCCATGAGCAGGGAGAGCTTCAACTAGAACAGGTTGCTCAGAGCCCCATCCAACCTGACCTGGAATGTTTCCAGGGATGGGGCATCTACCACCTCCCTGGGCAACCTGGGCCAATGTTTCACCACCCTCACTGTGAAAAATTTTTCCTTATATCTAGTTGAAATCTGCCCTGCTAAAAAGTTTGACCCCAAGATGGTCTTGTCTGGGTTGTTGCAGTTGCTGGCTGTTTCTCAGACCAGGGCTGCCTGCACTGAGAGGTGTCTGGCCTCAGGGCCCTGCAGCAGGAAGGCGAAGGATGGACCTGGCTCCTTCAGTGAGCTGGTGGTCTGGAGTTCCAGGGCTCTTTGTGGAGCTGTTCCAGACTGTGCAGCTGACCCATGTCCTCATGCAGGAGCAGTACACCTTCCTGTACGAGGTGCTGCTCGAAGGCTTGCTCTGTGGCAGCACTGGGATTCCTGTGGAGAGCATCGCCAGCCATATCCGCTGCCTTCGAGAAGCTGAGACCTCAAAGCACAACAATGTCCTTGAGAAGGAGTTCAAGGTACCACTAGGGTCTGGTGCACTGGGTCTGGTGCTGTAGGGACTGGTTTATGGAACTTCACCCCTATTGCTCCCCTCCCCATCTGTGGGATTGAGATGAGGGAGCATTTTTCTGGGATGGCTGAAGAAGGAGAGCAGCTGACAAAGCAGGACTTTCTCAGCTGAATTATCCTTACAGGCCCTGCAGAAGTTTTCTGAGTTATTCCAGCTCTTGCCATGCAGCGAAGCGGAGAAACCCTGCAACCAGCCCAAGAACCGCAAGCCAGAGATACTGCCAGGTACCGCTGGCAGGGCTGAGAGGCCCCTTGCTCTGCAACCCAGCACCTGAGAGCAGCATGGGGGGACGATGCTGCCCTGCTGCTTCCCTCCACAGCACTATGCCACTGGCAGGTTCTGCCCAAGGTCCAATCATCATTTTCTGGTTGGTAATAAATGCAGATTAGTTTTGTCCTTCCATGGGAGCAAGACCCTATTCCCTGCGTCTTTCTGGGCTTGCTGGAGATGTGTATTCACAGGGTACTCCTAGGATAAACATATCCCTGGGTCTAATCTGCCCCAGAGGAGGAGCCCAGATGAGGCGTCAGGCAGCAACGAAGAGGGTGGACCTGCTATGCCGCTGTGCCTCTGCACACGGGGTTTTGGACATCCTGTGTCAGGCAGCCCTGAGTTGTCATGGCCATGGGGCTGGTGGTGCCTGTTCATCCAAGCCTCTCTAGCCCATACCACAGGGAGCCACGCTGACCCCACCGCTTGCAGGCAAAGCCCCATGCCTCTGTGCAGGGAGTGGGCGGCTCAACATTTCTCTCTCTGCTCCTGCCTCCTCAGCGGATTCCTGCCGGCCCATCCTGATGTCCTCACTGAATGCAGATGGCTCACCAGGTTACATCAACGCCGTGTTTGCCAACGTAAGGCTCCAGCCCCAGCGGGGAGACCACCCCAGGAAGCACTACTTGAGGCAGGGGTAAACCATGCCACCCTGGTTTGAGGTGTCCCAGCCCTGGCGCTGCTTCACAGTGACTATTTCCCAGCAGCTGGGGTCCTGCTGCCAGGAGATGGCCCCCGTGATCAGCCTAAGCCCTGCCTGCACAGACAGCTCAGCAGGCTGCCACACAGCACTGCTGGCCTTGCCTGCTGGGAGCAGAGCCCGGGTGTGATGAGCTGAACGGCAGAGAGCCGTTCCTGTCGTCGGAGGGGCTCTCCGGAGGTGGATTGTGTGACCTCTTCCCCCAAAACCCCGTGATGTTTTGCAGACATACACCGAGGAGGACAGACTCATCATCACCCAGCTGCCTTTCGCCACCACACTGGCGGATTTCTGGGCTCTGGTCTGGGATTACACCTGCACATCGGTGGTTGCGTTGAACCAGCTCCAGGAGTTGGACAAGGTCAGCGGCCCACGCGCAGCCCTCTCCGCTCCAGGCTCTGCGGGGCTGGCAGTGTGCTTGCTGCCTTTGCAGGCAGGCAGCTCTCCTCGTGAGAGCCTGCCTGCTCCAGCAGCACGCTGCGAGCTCGTGGGCTCCACCCGGGAGAGCTGTGAGCACAGTCCCAGCACCATGGCACTACAGCGGTGGGGCGTCCCCAGCCTCACAGCGAGGGAGCATCCCTCGCGTTTTGCTTATCGCTGCCCAGCTGTCCTCTCTGCAGGAGTGTTATTTTTCTGGCTGCAGCACTGCAGGTCGGTCTCCAGCAAATGGTGGGCAGAGCACACGCATGCCCACTCTGTGGACTATATCAAATAGTGATATGATACAGTGTGAGCATACCCATGCAAGGTGCTGAGCTCTGCCACGCTTGCAGGTCAGGGCTGTGTGTGATCATTCGCATGTGTATGTCCCCAGACATATGTGGAGTTCTGGCCCACCCAGGGTGAAGCTGCCTATGGCCGTTTCCATGTCCACCTAATCTCAGAGGAGCCTGGAGTGGGTTTCACAGCCTGGACACTTGCCCTCACCAACAAGCAGCAGGTGGGGTCATTGCACAGAGATGGAAAAGTCCTTTGAGAACAGCCTTTGAAAGACGTGGGAGGACCAACTGGGCTCCAGCGTCAGCAGGCTTTGATTTGGGGTCAAAGTCACAGCTAGGGGTGACAGAGGCCACAACGGTCAGAGGGATCTGCTGGGGTCCTGGAAGGGCACCAGCCAGGGCAGGGCCTTTTGCCTTGGGGGAAATGTTAGTCCCAAGAGGGTGAGGCTGCAGGCAGAGGTACAAGGCAGAGGTACATTTGTATACCTTTCTGACTTGGAAGACAGCAGCCATAGATAGAGCCTCTGCATCTTGGTGGTGGTTCATGGATGGGAACAGCTATTACAGGTAGCTGGGAGCTGGACTGGCATCAATCTGAGCTGCACCTGGTGGTCAGCTCTTATTGTGTGCTCTGTCCGTCTGCTGGTCTCAGAGCATTCGGGGGAGAAGGGAAAGGTCTGGGACAGGGTCATCCCACCATGGAGCTTCTCCCTTGATTCAGGGTGCATGGCTGAGCCAGGACTGACACATGCTGTCCGTCCCTTCCCTCCATGAAGCCAATGGGTTTCTTCTCTGCCCAAACCACTGTCTTTCCTCCCTGCTAGCCCAAGAAGCCTGCACTGGAAGTCCGGTTCTGGCAACTGAAGGACTGGCCCATGCAGCAACGTCTTCCCCCGCACCCTGCAACCATCATCAGCCTGCTAGGAAAGGTGGAGACACACCATCGGCAGAGCCAAGACGGACACATCCTTGTCACCTGCTGGTGAGTGATGACTCTCGGAGGAGCAGCCGTGGCACAGAGCTGGCTCAGCCCAGGCTGCATCAGTGAACTTGGGTTACAACAGTGTCCTCAACTCAGATGAAGGGCGGACATATGTATGTGAATTCAGCTGTGTTCAGGGAGGAAGGCTTCCCTGTGGAGGCTGTCTGGCTGCAGGATCTGTGGACACGACCATCCTGAGAGCCTGCATGACTAGTGGGACACCTCTGAAGCTCAGCACTGCAGGGTGATCCCAGGGCAAGTGACCCTGCCCTTGTTCTCCTCCACAGGGATGGTGCCAGCCGGAGCGGAATCTTCTGTGCTGCTAGTTTCCTGTGTGAGCAGATCCAAAGCGAGGGGCTGGTGGATGTATCCCAGGCTGTGAGGATGCTCAAGCGGCGGCGGAGACAACTGATTAAAGATGTGGTAGGTGCTGAAACCTGCACCACTGGAGCAAGAGCCATAGCCTGGACTGTCCCAGCAGCTGCCCTAGCACATGTGTGCTCCTGGGGGCAGCAGGGGCAGATGAAACCTCTGAAAACCGTTTTCCACCACTGGGACACACCCACTCACCACAGGGACAGGTTCTGCAAAACCAGATGGGTACCAAAGCATCCTGTGAGCTGAGTTGCCCTTTTCTGGTTCACCTGTCCTGCTCAGCAGGGGCTGCACTGGTGGGTGCTCAGGTGCCTGTCCTGCACCCCCTTTACCACCCGGTCTGGATGCTAGAGGCCAACATAGGGTGAGCGCTGTGGATGGGAGTGAGCAGCAGATGCTTCATGCCGTGGATGCTGTCTCTCCTCCCAAGACCAGCTGGCTCCAGCATTGGTCAGCTACTGGAGCACATGCCTGTGCTTCCTCAGCGGGGAAGGTGGGCTCCAACTGAGAGGAGGAAAGCGGGCAGTACCTGCACCTGTCTTGCTCAGGAAGTTGTTGGCAGCCAAGGCTGGCCTTCCACTGCAGGTGTTGGTGTACCACTCTCACGTGCATCCTTCTGTCCACAGGAGCAGTATGGGCTCTGCTATGAACTAGCCCTCAGTTACCTGAATTCATTTGAAACCTATGGCAATTTCAAGTAGGGGCATGGCCACAGCCCATCTCCAGCCAGGACTTTGACTCTGTTGACAGCCCTCCATCAGTAACAGTGGAAACCAGAGGAGACAAGAGGGGTGTGCACAGCCCCAAGATGTTTTACTCCCCTGAAAAACCTCTGCAGCTGGAGAGCACAGGCTGGACTGCCTCCAAACTGTGGTCAGGCTTTGAAGCGGGACTCTGACCCTTTGCTCAGATCTTTCTCAGGAACTTATCTGGAATCACAGCTTGAGCATGCAGACCAGAGCAGAGGCACCAGGACTTGACCTGTCTGTGCCAGGGATGAAGAGAACCAGCTGTCCCATCCAGGCTCCCTCATCCCTTCAAGCAGCCCCAGGGAAACTGGGGTAGCTCCACCAATGCCCAAAGTGTGTTCTGCCAGGGGAGCATCAAATCTCTGTAAGATCCACAGAGCTCAGGAGCACAGGCTATCCTACTTTGGGAGAAGCGTGAAGCCAAGGCCAACAAGAGCCAAGGGACGGACAATTCACGTAGCCCCGTAGTGCTAGCCTGGTCCTTCCCACCCCACATAATCCCTTCCTGGAGTTCTATCTGCCTGATGCTAATCCATGCACCACAGCCCTGCCAGGTCCAGAGAGGCTCCCTTAAACAGCCTGTCTGGCTCCACTATGGCAATCCCCAGTTGTAGCAGCTCAACTCAGATATCCTGGATATTGTTCTGGCAGTCTACTGCCCAGGAGGGGCTGCTGCACCATGGAGACTGGTTCTGCCTTTGCTGCTCAAGGGCCAGGGCCCTCAGAGCCAGGACTGACCTCATGGCTCTGTTCTGTGTCTCACCAATAAAGGCTCTGTGCTGGCCATAGTGGTAGTGACCTCTGATCTTCACTTTACTTCCAGGTTTGATATGACATGGGGGCTGCAAAGGATTTGAGAGCACACAGGTGCCTCAGCTCTGGCCACAGCATGGGCACAGAACACACACCTGCTCAAGATGTTTGTTGAGGGACATCACCCATCACTGATTCTCACCACACACCCCATCCAAATGCACGACAGAGCTGCTCAGCACAGCCCTGGGAGTCAGGAAGGCTGTTTGGCACCCTCTGGGGACACGGGGACACAGCAGCCTTGCTCATGTCCTCCCCTCAACAAGGTCCTGTTAGCTCCCTGGAGGGGAATATGACCCCACAAGGGCAATGAGGGGACCAGGCAGGAGCTGTAGTGGGGCAGGCAGCCCCCTCCAAACCACAAGCCTTTATTGGTTGTCCAGACAGAGCAGGCAGACTCATAAAGGAAGCCCAGTCAGGCAAAGCTCCAGCAGAGTCCTGGATTTGGCTGAATATCAGCAGACAGAGCAGGGAGAGGGGTTGTGAACCCAGGACATGGCAGGATCATGTACCATCCCTCAGCCTGAGCCTGTGTGAGTCAGGGACTGGGAAATCTGGTGTGCAGTTCTTGCTTCCAGGAAAGCAAAAATGAAAGCAAAGCCTAAAAACAGGAACTACAGAAAGTTGCATTCAGAGGTCTTACAACAGCAGTAAGCGAAAGCCGGGAGGTAAAGGGGGTGAGGAAAGAAAAAGCTCACAACCCTCCTTGCCCTCCTGTTTTCTTCTTGCTCTGATGAATTGGATGGGACCCCCAGTGCTGGTCACAGTCACAGGAGAGCCAGAGGGCTCAGCAGCCATCAGCACAGAGATGGGGTCATCCTCCCCATCTTCTCCACTCCCTCGTTGCTCTGAATGTCTCCTGTGGTCCTGAGCAGGGGTTGGAGTGGCAGATCTCCAGCCAGGCCACCTTTACCTGTGGAGACCAAGGTCACCCAGGACAGAGGCTGCTGCATGCTCTCAGCAGCATTAAGGAGCTCACACCCCACAATTGCCTCCACACATGAATGTGAGACGGGCTGGAGCACGGGGCAGTGCCTGGCACAGCACAACCCCTTCAACCCAGATGTGCCCAACCACAGGTCCCCAGAGGTGCCCACTGGTGCCCAGGTGAGAGCAGCAGTCCCTCATCTTTCCCATCCCAGCAGATCTTTCCCCTGGCAGGAGTGTCATGGCCATGGGTCCCTCAAAGGGCTGAGCCATGAGCCATCCTTTGGGGTGCCCGTCTTTGCTCACCCCTGCCCCTGCTCCAGGCTGGGAACACTGCCTGGAGCCATGCTATGCTGCCACATGGGGCTTAGCAGGCAGAGAAGTCCTGACCACCCAGCGCCACAGGGCAAATGGGGAGGTGCTTCAGTGAAGACGATAAGCAGATGTTTCTCCTGAGGGTCAGGGTCTTCTGGGAGATCTCTGCTCTCCTTCCAGCTGCCGCTCATCCCTACAGGCCTTTCTGTGGTGGTATTCCAGAAAAATTGCTTTTTCCTACCTTTTTAATTATCTTCCTTAGCTTTGCTGGGCAAAGACTTCCTTCTCCTGGAAAGGCAAAGGGGAGTCCTGAATAAGAGTTTGGTGTTGCC